CCTGACACAAGCCATGGTGTTTTCAATAACCTTGTAGTCTGTGTTATCAATGTGATCACCATCTATCTATCTCTGATAAAGATGAGGGAATTCTGGATAGTATTAAAATCTGAAGCCTTTTTGCCTGTGAATGACTGACTCCAGCCAGGTAGAGCTTAATTCCATCTGTGGCTAAGTTTAAGTGTTCAGTTGCTAATTTTTTTTGAGTATTTCATGCACCTCTGGCCACTGAACTTCTATGGTTAGAAACAGAGTATATTTAAAAGTAGATTTTGGCATTTGACGTAGCTTCAATGACTTGATGACCAGAGCTCCATTAGAGGAAGATAAAGAAATTTAATAAAGGAAGCAAGTGTAAATTGCTACAGTTTGATGAACTTAGCCTATATTTACGGATATAGTAGCTCAAAATACCAACTGAGAGGGAAAGAGCCTTCACATCAAGGATCAAGACTATTCCCTCTGTACACAAGGTTGATAGAGATGGGCAACTTAGACATTGTCTACCTAAAATAGGGGACTATAAAGGCACAAAGTTGCTGGCTTACAAGGTTTTAAGAGAGAGTTCAGTTTCAGAGTATGTGGGGGAAATGTAGAGTCCCCACTGAATAATTTTCATCTTTGTCTAGATGAGTCTGGTGAAAGGAGACAGGGATAGGATTCATTCGATTCAATAGTGAGTAATTGTTCTCATGACTAATTAGGATTGTCACAACTGTAAAGGTAGAAGTTTTGTAACATAAAGGGGAGAGTAGTTAATCTTACATTCTAGGAACTGAGAACCTTAGGAAAATCAAGGGAGAAGAGCATGAGTAGAATGTGGGATCCTAACCAAAGAAGCAGCGACACCAGAAATGGAGGCAGAGGTGATGGCATAAAGAGATAGAGCAGTTGAGGATTCTAGACTCATGAAAAGAGAAAGGCTTTGTGCTGGCTCCCAGGAGGCAGGCTTACAGAATGTGCCCTTTGGTTGGGTTGTTAAAATGACTATACATATTCCTGAGCATTTCTGTGTGCATAAGAAAAAAAAAAAAAAAAAACAGAGGGAATAGAAACAAATACTGTTAACTGATGATGCATGGAGGGGATTGTAATCATTGCAATGAAGCAAAATACAATAAGATGAGTGCAAAACCAATGTTCTCCCATGTAAACTGTCACTCAATTCACAATAAAACTTAGAGAGAAAAAGTTGGTTTGGGGTCACTTCTTCCAGCCAGCCCTCACAGAAACATTCTTAGACACATACCTTAATGATCTCATGGTTGTGATTTCTGACCCCAAGAGTCTCAGAGACTGTAAACTTTTCTATCTGCAATAGTCCCCTCCTGTTTTCGGTAGACCTGGCATGCATATGTGACACATTGCTGCTATCTGTTGTGATAATGGGAGAGGATTCCTTTATTCCTTGTTTTCTATAAAAGGTCATCATGTGGAGAAGAACTTTGGAAGTTCATCATTGTACCTATGATTTCTTTCAACCAGATCATCTCTGTATGTCTTTGTCTTGTGTTTACTCTTCTCAATGATACAGTAATGAATTGTATAATATTTATATCTTTGATGATGTGGTCTCTTCTCTCCCTTACAACACATTTCATATTAGATTCATATTTGCTGTAAGGACCAATTTTCTGTGCACTATAAGACACTGAGAAGCATTGATGCCTCTATTCACTAAAGCCAGTAGTACTTTACCCCACTCATCAGAGAGCCAGAAATATCTCCAGACTTTTCCAAATGTTTCCTGGGGCCGGGTTGACAGATAAAACATCATATGGAAAATGCTTCTTCTTAAAATTTATTTGTTGATTATTTGAAATTCAGATTTCACTTGACCTCCTGTATTTTTCTTTGCTAAACTTAGTGACTCTACCTGGGGTCAAAGTGACCCCTTCCTCTCCAGTCTCCCAGCCTGCTTGAGAATCACTGCTCTAGTATGAGGTGAGCAATGGAGAATAAGTGTGCTGATAAAAGTGAAGAAAGTTATAATCAGATATACATTCTGAGCAAAACAGTATAAACCATCTGAACCCCACTCATAAGCCTAGACTGGTACTATCATTCTACTGGCATAGATGATATAGTAAGACTCATTTGAACCCTTTTTTGTCCCACTTTTGAATAAGGAACTGAAAATGAGAGCTCAGAACTAGCTAGCCACATAGTTAGACTATCTTAAGTACCAATGCTGGGATAATAAAGGAATGGGGAGTTGTGCCCTTTATTTTCCTTCTTCTTTTCTACTGAAACTAAATAATAGTCAGCTTTTGGAGTACTGGTGGGGCCCTGTAAGATAAACACTAGACTAGATCAATGGTTCAACCACACCAGCCACTCCTCAGAAACCCCATACAGAGTCTCTATGAGTCGGAACGACTAGAGGGCACTTAATAATATTTCTTCTCTAAGATACTTATATTGAGGTTTTTATTTGATTAGATAGTAAGGGTTGTTGTTGTTGTTATTGTTAAGTGCTGTGGAGTCAGTTCCGACTCATATCAACCCTATATAGGGTTTCTGAGCCCTCAAATCTTTGCGAAACAGAAAGCCTCATCTTTTTCCCACAGAGTGGGCTGGTGACCTGGAACTGCCAACCTTGTGTTTCACTGTCTAGTGTTTATCGTTTGGAGCCATCATGCCCCCCAGTTTATAAGGATTGTTGTTGTTGTTGTTGTTGTTGTTGTTGTTGTTGTTGTGATGGTGGTGGTGGTGGTGTTAAGCATCATCTAGTCAGAATTAATATGAAATATTTACTCTACATTTAAGTTTGATCCAAGGTCTCCTAGAGAGACGGTTATATGCATGTTCTGGGATACCTGAGACTTGAAATTCCAAACCCATAATGTCTGAGGTAAAATTCACCAGAATAGGTACTCTTTTAAAATACCCCTCAGCATCTCAGCCAATTTGTTAAAAGAATTCAAAGAAACCCAGAATCATTTGTTGATGCAATGTATTATCCTCTCATCTTTGTTAGTATTTCCAGTTTTGTGTCTCCAAGTACCCAGGAGTGTGACACACCACAGACCTCTCATCGGTAGAACAGGAGAACGGCTGCCTCCGTTATCTCCTTGCTGCTGCTGTAGTGGCTGTGAGTTCCATATCCATTCCAGTCAAAGGAAGAGAAATCTCCGCACTGCCGGGGATTTCCCTCTGGGAAAAATCCTCCTCCTCCTATACAGTGCTAGATATCAAGGAGAAGAGAAGACACAATGAGGTGATGCAAGTAAGCTATAATGGTCAAAAATCCTGGACTCTTTGGTCCTCATTCTACTAATCTTTGCCACATGCTTCCATGGTGTTAGACCTTAATTCTTTTAAAACCCTCCCCTCCAGTGAATTCTGAAGTAATGCTTTATCTCCTAGCTTCCATTCATTCTACCATAGCATTCATTCTCTATCTCTCTGCTGGCATCTCTTCCTCTGCCCACCTCCTAAATTCTATTTCTCAAGGTATGAGGAATAGCATTTAGTTCACACCTCACTCTCTCTTAGTTTCTTCCATAATTTTCATTGTTATCAACATAGTGATGACTCCCAAATCTCTGACTTATATCAGATTTCCTCATGCTTGAGACCTTCTGATTCAAGGGAACCATCCATGCTCATCCAATCCTATCCAGTTTGAACCTTTACACCTACCTCGTAACTGAACTCCTTTTCCCTAATTTCCCTACTTTTGAATCCAGGTCCTCCACACTGTTACAACAGGGATCTTTTGAAAAATAATAATAATGATCAGGTCACTGTCATGTTCAAAATTTTCTAATGATTCCCATCACTCACAGTATAAACTCCAAATCCTTGACATAAATGTGAAAGTTTCTCCTTGCCCCTAGAATAGTCTTCTTCCTCTACTCAAGATACAGTCTATCTTCAGAAATTATAAAACAGCTTACTGCTTCCTCAACATGCCATGCTCTGCCAGTCATTTTTAACATGCTCCTCATTTGCGCTAAAATGCACTATTCTACTCATGCTAGGAAGCCTGGTGGCGTAATGGTTTACCACTAGCTGAGAAACAAAAGGTTGAAGGTTTGAACCCAACCAACAGCTATGCAGCACAAACACCTAGTGATCTGCTCCTGTAAAGATTACAGCTTTGAAAACCCTCTAGGGCAGTTCTACTCCATTATATGGGATCACAGTGAGTTGAAATTGACTCCATAGTGCCTACAACAAAATCCTTTGCTACTTGTTGAATTCTGTACATCTTTTGAGATTCAGCACAAATGTCACCTGCCCTTAAGAATCAACTAGCAGCATTAGGAGATCCTCATGTGTTCCCAGAGCCCTTTGTTTATATTTCTATTATAGTTCACAGCACAGGAGATCACAATTATGCTTTTATGTCTCTGCTCCACTCAATCTGAACTCTTATGGGGAAAGATTATGTCTAATACCTAGCACATAATGTTGTTGTTATCAAGTGGCATTGAGTTGATTCCAACTCATAGTGACCCTCTATAGGGTTTCCAAGGAGCAGCAGGTGAGCTTGAACAACCAGTCTTGCAGTTCAAACAACTTTGCAGTCTGATGCATTAGCCCACAGCTCCACACCAGCACATAATAGGTGTACATATTTTAAGGAAAAGTCAATGCATGCAGGCATAGATGCAAACATGGATTAATGAACAGTGCAAAGGGTCAAGGAAGCCAGGGCAAGAAACTGTTGCCAAGGAAGAGTTTATAGATACACTGCACTCAATTGCCTGTATTCCCATCAGTCTCTGAATCATAGTCAATGGGGTTTTGCATGAAAGCACAGTTGCCTCATCCTGGCTGGAAAATGGACAAACTGGTGATGAAGGGGAAGAGAAGATGGGCTTGTGACTTTAAGTTCCTCTTCCAGGAAGCAAAGCCCATTTCTCAGCCTATGGTTGGGGGTAAGGAGAGAGTCCTTAGTAAAGAACCTCATTCTAGGTGGCTCTGACTCCCTCCTACCCCAGTCACTGGGGTTCCTCAAAAATAATTTCTTCTCTACAAGACTGGAAATATGTATATTTATACACTCTTAAGTCCTGGTGTGGCTCTGTAGGGTAAACACCAAACCAGAAGGCTGATTTAAACCGCACAATTGGCACTCCCTGAAAACCCTCTACAGGGTGGTTGGCACTCCCTGAAAGCCCTATATAGGGTCACTATGAGTTGGAACTGACTCAACAGTACTTAACAACATAACAGAAGTTATTTATTAGTACTGTAGAATACCTTCATAACCTCAAAATAGGGAAATATTGCTTAAACAAAACATAAAGTAGTAAACACAAATGAAAAAACAATAAATTGGACTTCACTAAAAGAAAGGAGATGATCAACTAAGAAGAGAAGGACTAAGAACTGGTGCCCAGGAGCAGACTTGCAGAATGTGCCCTC